TTGTTTTGGTTTTGGTTTTGGTTTTGGTCTGTTTTGGTTTTGGTTTTGTTTGCCGAACTCTACTATAAACCTTAAAAAATTAGATAGAAATATTAAATAGAAAAGCTATTGGGTTGGGGAGAATGAGTCGGCGCCGAAAATCAAAAAAATGTCTAAAACTTCAATTCGACTTCGTCAAATAATATGCGTTTGATATGAGTAGAATGGTTAACTAATTCTCTACAAAATCACATTTAAAAGAAAATTCAAACATCGCCTCCGCTCAAGAAAAAGCCATTTTTTCACAAAAACTACAAACTGTGATCTAGAAAAAAGCATTGGTGGGATCTTCCTGCAAATTTGGCAACTTAAGTAATTGAATGTGCTCTATCTTTTTATATAAACACCAAAGAAGGTTTATGTGAAAGAAACTGTTCAAATGATGAGTCGGACTCTTTGCCATTTTGACTAGCTGTGTTTGGGAGTCCATAAACTCCACGAAAGAAAAGCTTTGTGGAATCTCTCAAAAGTGATTTTGTAGAGAAATAGTGGATCCTTTTGATGAAACCAAACGTATGTTTAAAGAAGGCTTTATGTGTGCAAAAAGTCCCTTTAAAGTTTGGCGCCGAGTCATAGTCCCCAACCCAATAGATCTAGAGAAACCAGAGAAAATAGTAAATCAGCAAAATGAGCAAAGCAAATCAACAAAAAAAAAGCAAACAACTTTTTGCGCAGAAAAGAATTTTCGGCTAATTTTCAGCTAATTTTGGTCTAAAATCATTTTTTTAAGGTGAAAATCATTAAAAACTGGCAAAAATCACCTGTTTTAACCAGAAATTGACTGAAAAAGAAAGGATTTTTGAGAAGAAAATTGAAAAATCTCTTTCTAAAGCTATAAAAGGATAAAGCTAAAAGCTGGAAAAGCTATAAAGCTGCAAAAGTGCCGATAAAATGCCAAAGAGTAAGGCTAGATTCAGATCAAAGCTTGCTCCGAGCTTTGCGAGATTTAGAGCTTATGGAGACGATAGATGGAGGCGATAGAAGACTAGGTTGGAGCTATGGAGACGAGAAATTACTATTGGGTTGGGGAGAATGAGTCGGCGCCGAAATTTAAAGAAACTTTTGCACCCATAAAACCTTCTTTAAATACACGTTTTGTTTTATCAAAATGGTCCACTATTTCTTTACAAAATGGCTTTTGAGAGATTCCACAAAGCTTTCCTTTTTTTGGGATTTTTATGGATTCCCAAACACAGCTAATCAAAATGACAAAAAGTCCGACTCATTGCTTGAGCAGTTTCTTCCACATAAACCTCCTTTGGTGTTTATATAAAAAAGATAGAGCACACTCAATTACATCAGTTACCAAATTTTCAGGAAGATCCCTCCAACCGTTTACTCTAGATGACAGTTTATCGATTTTGTGAAAAAAAATGATCCTTTGTTGAGTTGAGGCGCTGTTTGAGTTCTCTTTTAAATATTATTTTGTAGAGAATTAGTTTTAATGGATTTCCGGGATTGAACCCAAGCCAATTGCGTTAACCACTGATATCCGGTGGTTTAACTTGGTAAGAGAAAGAAGGGAAGACAAGGAGGAAGAAGAAAGGAAGAAGGAAAGACAAAGAGGAAGAAGGAAAGACATGGAGGAAGAAAGAAAGAAGGAAATACCCGGGTCTCGAGCCTGATCTTCTCAATTTTTATAGAAACCAATCTTGTGAGCGTTAAACAATCTGCGAGCTCAAAAGTCGCAATTTTGAATATTCTGTAGGTCAAGTAGTCCAAGCCAAGTCAGGCCAGCTCAAGCTCATGATCAATCCAAGTCAAGTCAGGCTCAGGATCAGTCTAAGCCAGGCCCGGCCAGGCCAGATCAGGCTCAAGATCAGTCCAAGCCAGGCCAGCTCAAGCCCAAGAGCAATCCAAGCCAAGCCAAGCCAGCTCAGACTCAAGATCAACCCAAGCCAAGCCAGATCAGGTCCGGCTCAGGATCAGTCCAAGCCAGACCAAGTCCGGCTCAGGACCAAGTCAGGCTCAAGGTCAATCCAAGCCAGACCAGGTCCTGTCTACCCTAGAACAATAACCGCTGGTCCAGACACCAGACTTGGTGTTTAGTTCTAGATTCTCGGACTTAAACCTGCCAAGTACAGAAGTCAAGTACAAAACTCAAGCTTAGATCCAAAAAAATCGTTTCAAAAGTCCAGAATTCGTTTAGAACACAGTGTCACAATGTTTGACAACTCAAGAATAGAATCATAGGTTATAGATCATAGATCATAGCAAGGATGATAGCAAGAATCTGCCTTTAAAAGTTGTTGAGTGGATCTCGATGAGCCGATCAATCAAAAATCAAATCAATCAAAAAGAAATGGGTGAAAGTTTTGAAAAAGCTCTTCAGCTTTGAAAAGAGCTTCTTCAGCTCTTCAAATCACTTGATTGAGAATTTTGTGTTTGTGTTGAGCGAATCGGAAAGCTTTAAAAGTAACAGAGAATGGGCAAGGGGGATTTGAAGTGGAAAAGTACACAGTCAGTCATCCCTTGGCTTTTCAAAAGAGTTTATAGTTGATTTTTGTTGATTCTTGTTGATTTTTGTTGATTTTTGTTGATGCTTGTTGATTTTTGTTGATAAAAGAGTTGTTGAGGCTTTTAGTTTGACTATTTCAGTGATACAATGGTCAAGATCTAAGTCAAGAATCAGTCAAAAAATCGCTCAATGATTTGGGAAATCGATCAATGATCAACGACGCTAAAAACCCTATTCTTTTCATCGAAATCTACCAAATCTGGATTTAATTGGGCTAAATTTTTGAATAGATTTCGTAGTTTGTTAGTGGCTAAAGATTGAATTAGATAAAGAAATAGAGAAAGAAATAGAGAAAGAAATAGAGAAAGGAATAGAGAAAGAAATAGAGAAAGAAATAGAGAAAGGAATAGCCATTGAATTAGACATTGAATTAGATGAAGAAATAGCCATTGAATTAGTTATTCAATTAGATATTCAATTAGATATTGAATTAAACATTCAATTAGACATTCAATTAGCCAAAAAAATCAACAATTATCTTACTCATAGACCTGCTAAACGAGTCCAAGCAAAATTTTCAGACGCTCTGCCTCGCGCTTCGATTTCTTTCGGCTCAAAGCTCCCTCGAGCATGAAACCCAGTTCCCTCGAAAGCCCTTGTTCTAAGCTTCATTTTGATACCAAACATGACTAGGTTCTGTTTTGTCATTCTCTAGATTTCGATCATTTTAGATCAAAATTTTTCTGAACTCGTTAAGATTATCGAGTCCGAAAGATTTATCGAAATCTAAAGAATGGCAAAAGAGAACCTAGTCATGTTTAGTATCAAAATGTAGCTTAGAACAAGGGCTTTCGAGAGAACTAGGTTTCATGCTTGACGAAGCTTTGAGCAGTAACTAGATTTCGATCAATCCTTCGCCGGACTCGATTAGCTAAACAAGTTCAGAAAAATTTTGATCTAAAATGATCGAAATCTAAAGAATGACAAAACAGAACCTAGTCATGTTTAGGATCAAAATGAAGCTTAGAACAAGGGCTTTCGAGAGAACTGGGTTTCATGCTTGACGGAGCTTTGAACAGTGAAAAATCAAAGGCCGAGTCAAAGTGTCTAAAAATTTTGCTCGGACTCGTTTAGCAGGTCTACGAGTAAGAAAACTGCTGATTTTTTTTGGCTAATTCAATCTTTAATCATCTAATAAGCTTCAGAATACTTACTAATCTCTTAATTTACCTTTTAAAAGGCATTTCTAGAATCTAGCAATAAAATAAGCATTTAAAAGAGTTTTTTTCAAGTCAAAATTTTTTTTTTCTAACTTTTTCTAATAAATTTTTCAATTTTTTTTCAATTAAATGATTCAATTTTGATTTAAAATAGTTGAAAATGAGTTTTTTTTGCTCTTTTTAAGCTCTTTTTAAAGCCCTAATTATTAAATAGAAAAGAATCTCTTTCAGAAAACATTTCTATAAAAGAAATCAAAGAAAAAACAAAGAAAAAATGATTCAAATCAATCAAAATCATCAACAATAAGAAATTAGCTTTAAAAATCTCTCTACAAGGCTGAAATTATTGTTTAAAATAAAGAAAAAAGCAATTCTCTAATTAAAAAAGACATTTTTATTAAAAAAAAAGAGATTTTTTATGAAAAAAAAGACATTTTTATGAAAAAAAAGACATTTTTATTAAAAAAAAAAGAGATTTTTACTAAAAAAAGAAATTTTTATTAAAAAAAGACCTTTTTAGTAACATTTTAACTAAAAAATCTCTCAAATAAAACATTTTTTTCGAAGAAATTCTTGAGTTTTGGTCTTTTTACTTGAAAAAAACTTGATTTAAGTAAAAAGAAACCGATTTTGCTTCACGAAAACCTACATAACTTTCCATTTCCATAGAAAACTTCCATAGAAAACCCTACGGCTTTAAATCTAGTCAAGGAGGGAATATCAATCTTTAAGTCTAGTCAATGAGGGAATATCAATCTTTAAATCTAGTCAAGGAGGGAATATCAATCTTTAAATCTAGTCAAGGGGGGAATATCAATCTTTAAATCTAGTCAAGGAGGGAATATCAATCTTTAAGTCTAGTCAAAGAGGGAATATCAATCTTTAAATCTAGTCAAGGTAGGAATATCAATCTTTAAGTCTAGTCAAAGAGGGAATATCAATCTTTAAATCTAGTCAAGGAGGGAATATCAATCTTTAAGTCTAATCAAGGAGGGAATATATTAATAATCAATCTGTTTCTACAATAAACAATCTTTTCAATAGTAAATCAATGTTCTCCAGTTTCCCGTTTCCTTTTGAACCACTTCAGAAAAGAAAAAGGCAAATATTGAATATAAAATTGGAAACGAATCATTCAGTTTTTCAGTTTTTGTCTTTATTTCAAGAATATTACAATGTTTTGGGAAAAAAGAAACGAAAAATGCCCGGCTGTTTGAAATTCGAACATTGGCAAGCTGGGTATTTGATTTAAATTAATTCAAAGTAAAATTCAAATAACAAACCGGGCAAGAGGATCGAGAATGGGACGAGCCCTTGTCGTTCACGCGCATCAGCTAACGCCACCAATACGAGATCCGTTGTACCACCTGGGGATTCGATTAACTGAAAAGAATTATTGTAGAAATGATTGCGGAGATGATTGCGGAAATGATTGCGGAAATGATTACAGAAATGATTAAAGCAATTTGCGAAAGTTTTAACACCAAAAAAAACCAAAAACTTCCAGCCAACCGGATTCGAATCAGTGACCTAAGGATAGCTTCTACAGTCCTCCGCTCTACAGTCCTCCGCTCTTGCAACTGAGCTATGGCTGGGTGAGAGAAGGGCTTGAAATTGTGCTTATCTTTCACTTGGCTCTCTATTGTTGGTTCTCTCTATTGTTAGGTTTTTAAGCTTTTTCTTACAGCTTTGACTGAACCTAGCCTCATCTATTGCATTGTTCTTAAACTATTGTTAGCCCTGGCTTGGTCTAGTTGATCCTGACCTAAGGATAGCTGCTCGATCTACAGTCTCTACCAACTGAGCTATGGCTGGGCGAGCCGCCGGGTTGAAATGGAGCTTATCTTTTGATAGAAAGTGATTTGTTAAGCCTCGGCTGATCGCTCTAAAGCATGTTCAAGCTGCCGTAATCCTTTTAGCTGCCTGTTGCCAGCTGCCTGTTGCCAGCTGCCAGTTGCCAAAAGCTGCCAATTGGGTTACTACAACATCTACTAATTGATTAGGGTTACAGTAATCGAGTCAAGCTTTGAAACGACAGTTAGCCGAGAGCTAATTCACTTAAATTTCCCTGAATTTCTTCTGTTTCTCGAATACGAATTAATCTACTGAAAAATTGAAAATATTGTAGATTTCAATCAATTCTAACCAGAATTTCGTCATCTTTAAATCATTTTTAAATAAAATTATCTAGAATACACCCTTTTGACGTATTGTCAGTAAAAAAACAAAAAAAAACCAAAAGAATTCCAGCCAACCGGATTCGAACCAGTGACCTAAGGATAGCTGCTCGCTCTACAGTCCTCCGCTCTACCAACTGAGCTATGGCTGGGACGGGTTGCCGGGTTGGAGATGGGGTTATCTTTTGGCATCTTTATCTTTTTCCTGGGCTGCTTCTTTTTGACTAACTTAAAGCTTTTGCTTTAAAAGAGCTAAAAAAATGCTTCGGCCACGACCGTCCATGGCTCAGTTGGTAGAGCGGAGGACTCTAGATCGACCGGCTATCCTTGGCTCACTGGTTCGAATCCGGTTGAGGCAATTTTTTGGAAAACAGCTTCAAAATAGCTGCAAAGAGGAGATTAAAGCTGCAGATTAAAGTTAAGGATAATCTTTCCTTTAGATTTTCTTATATTTACTGAATTTTGATCACGTTTAGAATGAAATGAAAGCGAAATTGAAAGGAATTGAATGTGTGTCTAAAAGAAGAAAGAATTCCGGCCAACCGGATTCGAATCATTGTCCTAAGGATAGCTGCTCGATCTACAGTCCTCCGCTGAGGACTGTAGCTATGGCTGGAGCCATAGCTACAGCCATAGCTGGCTGGCTAACTGAGCTATGGCTGGGTCGAGTCCTCGCTTTGAAATTGACCTTATCTTTTACCCGGCAATGATTCGCTGCTTTTTCAAGGATTGATTTACTTGATTTGCTTGATTTGCTCCACTATTACGCCTCATATAGGCTTTCTAAAGCACCCTCAAGCCACCGTAACCCGTGGATTACTGTAAAAACTAATTGAGTCAAGGCCAATTCAGGGCTGAAAGGATGAAAGCAATAGCCCGTTTACGTCTGAAATAGTTACCAGCTACCGTGAGTGTATTGGATTACTGTAACAGCTACTATTTGGGTTAAGGTTACGATAATCTATGGCTAAAAAGGCTATCCCAGTCGTTTTGAGCAATTGGCGTCTACCGTAACCCTTCTACTGTACTAAATTACGGTTACAGTAGCTAGGTACGGTAGCCAGGTACGGTAGCGAGCTTACCGTAGCCAGCTATGGTAGCCAGCTTACAGTAGCCAGGTAAGGCAACCAGGTACGGAGCCAGCTTATTATAGGGTTATGGTAGCTTTAAAGTGCCTGCTCGGGTCAAATAATTGCAGCTCAAGCTACCGTAACCGTCTATAGTAATCCAGTTACAGTCGTGATAGATAAAAATTTGGCTAGCTCGCGGTAATCGATCTATGTCACCGTAAGCCTTCATTTGCATCAAATTGGTTTACTGTAACAGTTATTAATTAGGTCGGAGATTACGGCAGCCGGTCCATGCTTGTGCTTTTTTTTTGCTGACCTCAACACGATCTCCCCGATTCACGCACAAATGTCCATCAATTGTGCCATCATAGTCGACGGAGACTGTCCACTGATCGCCGCCTTGCTGAATTTGAAATAATCTTGATAATTTACTTTTTTGATAATAGTTTTTGTGCTCAGTACAGAATTGTACTGTACGTACAGAATTGTACTGTACCTACAGAATTGTACTGTACCTACAGAATTGTACTGTAAGTACAGGATTGTACTGTGCGTACAGAATTATATTGTACGTACAGAATTGTACTGTACCTACAGAATTGTACTGTAAGTACAGGATTGTACTGTGCGTACAGGATTGTACTGTGCGTACAGAATTATATTGTACGTACAGAATTATATTGTACGTACAGAATTGTACTGTACCTACAGAATTGTACTGTAAGTACAGGATTGTACTGTGCGTACAGGATTGTACTGTGCGTACAGAATTATATTGTACGTACAGAATTATATTGTACGTACAGAATTGTACTGTACCTACAGAATTGTACTGTACCTACAGAATTGTACTGTACCTACAGAATTGTACGCCAAATGGAATTGCCATTTGCCAAGCCTTTTGCTTTGCGAATTTGGTATCAAAATGTAGCCCTTGAATTGGGCTACACGATGGTATAAAAGCTTTTAGAAAAACTGTTGTCTAGTCTAAGAAAAATGGCCGCAAAGCGAGAGCAAGGGTAAAGCTGTACATCGCAATATTAACAACAACGTGGCGTCTTTTGTATGGGTTTGTAGTGTTGTTAGTAATCTTTTGTATGGGTCTTTGTGCTAAGAAATCCCCGAGAACACGGCAAGGCAAGGAAACAATTCTGATCATGCTTTTGCTGACTTGATCTAGCTCGGTCAGCCAGAAGCTAGCTCCATCAGCCAGAAGCTAGCTCCATCAGCCAGAAGCTAGCTCCATCAGCCAGAAGCTAGCTCCATCAGCCAGAAGCTAGCTCGGTCAGCCAGAAGCTAGCTCCATCAGCCAGAAGCTAGCTCGGTCAGCCAGAAGCTAGCTCCATCAGCCAGAAGCTAGCTCGGTCAGCCAGAAGCTAGCTCCATCAGCCAGAAGCTAGCTCCATCAGCCAGAAGCTCGGTCTGGTTCTCAGCGAGAAGAAGCTAGTTGTCAGCGATAAGCAATCGAATTTCAGTCAGCCAAAAGCTAATTGTAAGCTGGATTTGGCTTTAAAGGGGCTTTTCTAGGGAAAGATTGGCTTTTTTTGCCTAATCTTCTCCTAAAATCCTCCTCCAAATCACTTTTCAAAGTTCTCTATCAAAGAAATCTCGATATCTATCTATCCCGAAATTTTCAGCTTCTAGAATTGAAATTTTCCCTTTTCCTTAACTCTTTCCCTGATGGATTACCCACTTTTTCCCAGTGTTGAATGCAATTTTAAAAAGCCTCTTCTCACTTTCAAATGAAACAAGCTAAGAGAGAGAAAAGCTATGAGAGAAAAGCTATGAGAGAAAAAGAGTGGCTTTTTTCCTCTCGTCCAGATAATTAGAGTCGATCATTATCGGGAAAAATCCAATGGGAAGCGGCTAAGCCACAAATCTCTTCGTGAAATGATGTTGAAATGTTTCAGTTAACCCCGTCTCATTTGTTTTTATGAATTTTAGCTAAGATTTGTGTTTAGAAAGATGAATTATGAAAGGGTTTTCATAATATTTCAATAAGCTCTGTTCAATAAGCTTCAATAAGCTTCCATCGGCTTCAGTCGGCTTCTATCGGCTTCAAGAAGCTTCTATCGGCTTCAATAAGCTTCTATCGGCTTCAAGAAGCTTCTATCGGCTTCAAGAAGCTTCTATCGGCTTCAATAAGCTTCTATCGGCTTCAAGAAGCTTCTATCGGCTTCAAGAAGCTTCTATCGGCTTCAATAAGCTTCTATCGGCTTCAAGAAGCTTCAAGAAGCTTCAATCGGCTTCTATCGGCTTCAATAAGCTTCAATCGGCTTCGATCGGCCTCAATAAGCTTCTATCGGCTTCTATCGGCTTCAATAAGCTTCAATCGGCTTCTATCGGCTTCAATAAGCTTCTATCGGCTTCAAGAAGCTTCAAGAAGCTTCAATCGGCTTCAATCGGCTTCAATAAGCTTCAATAAGCTTCAATAAGCTTCAATCGGCTTCAATCGGCTTCTATCGGCTTCAATAAGCTTCAGTCGGCTTCTATCGGCTTCAATAAGCTTCAATCAGCTTCAATAAGCTTCAATAAGCTTCAATTCATTCTTATCGATCGCTGCCGAGCGATGCCTATGTGGTTCTGCTTCAAGAGATTCAATACCTTCTCGGAATTCAGCAAACTAGTGCTGGCTAACTAGCAAACTAGTCTTTCGGTCATAACTTGTGCTCCAAAAGTGGAACAGAGATCACGATGTGATTCGGCAGGGTTTTTGCTGATCTTAAAATCGTATATGCAGTCATCTGCATCCAATTCAAAAGCTTTTTATATCTAAATCTAGCCAAGAATTAGGGCTTTAAATCTCTATTTAACTTAACTTTAAATCACTATTTAAATCTCTACACTTTAAAAAAAAGTTAGACATTTGCTAGCTGCTTTTATTTCGCTTCATAATTTTGGGACATTTGTAGAGGAAATCCTGTAGAATCTCTTGAATAACTTTTCAATTTCGCTCAGCATTTCTTTGCTTTCATTTCCGGGCACATTTCTCAGCCATTCTCAGCCATCGTTTCCTTAGATCGAGGCCAATTTCTTTTTCTTTTCAACCCTTAGTCAACGAATTTTTTCTCCATTTTGACTCGAATATAAATATGGGAATAAAATCGAGAAAATATGCCCGGAAATGTGTCTCCATGGAGAGAAATAAAAGGAAAAAAGAGTCGATTCGGGGGTTTCTTTCCAGTCCAAAAAAAAAAGATCAACTATTTGGTGACGACAACAAGAATTAGGGTTAAAAACGGTAACTTTCAGCGTGCGTACAGTATCCTTTCCCATCTACAGTACTTGGGAAATAAAGTAGACGTTAATAGTAGTCGTGTAAACGTTAATAGTAGGCTACAGTAGTCTAGGAGACTAATAGTAGACTACAGTAGGATCTAGGATACTAATAGTAGCCTTACAGTAGTCTAGGCTGCTATTGGTATCCTAGACTACTGTCTAGTCTAGTAGTCTAGTGTCTTACAGTAGTCTAGGATACTAATAGTAGTCTTTCAGTAGCCTAGGATACTAATAATAGTCTTATAGTAGTCTAGGAGACTAATAGGAGTCTTACAGTAGTCTAGGATACTAATAGTAGTCTTACAGTAGTCTAGGCTGCTATTGGTATCCTAGACTACTGTCTAGTCTAGTAGTCTAGTGTCTTGCAGTAGTCTAGAATACTAATGGTAGTCTTACAATAGTCTAGAATACTAATAGTAGTCTTACAGTGGTCTAGAACACTAATAGTAGTCTTACAGTAGTCTAGGTTACTAATAGGAGTCTTACAATAGTCTAGGATACTAATAGTAGTCTTACAGTAGTCTAGGCTGCTATTGGTATCCTAGACTACTGTCTAGTCTAGTAGTCTAGTGCAGTAGTCTAGGATACTAATACCAGCCTAGACTACTGTAATCTAGATCTAGCCTTTTCTAGAATCTAGATCTTTCTAGAATCTAGATTTTTCAAAGTTTATTATATATTTATTCATAGACCGCCAAAAATCGACTTTTCAAACTAAATAGCTATTTTTTAAGCAGAAAAATCGTGGTTTCAGCTTAACAAGCCAGCAACATTTACATTTAGCGTTTCAGCAAGCATTTAGCGACATTTAGCGACTTTTAGCAACAAATTTGAGATAAATCGAGAGCTCACTAATCCCATCAAACCCGTCAACTAATCCCTGAGAATAATTTTGTTATTTTTAGACATTTAAAACCCGATTTTCCCTCTTTTCCCTCTTTTCCCCCTTTTTTTTTTGCAGAAATCACTGCTGTAAACGGGGATTAGAAGCTTGGAACTAAAGCTGAAGCTGAATTAAGGGGATTAGAAGCTTGCGTCTAAGCTAAATTGCGTCTAAAGCAAAGAAACGATAGCTTTTGGTGGCGTTTGTGCTTGAAAAGTGTAAATACCTAAATGCACACTTTCTAGAGCAATGAATTCTTCTTCTTACTGCAGCAAATTGCCCCTTGTCCTCTCAGTGCGCCAGATGGGGCGCGTTTACGAGAACTGAGCAAAATGAAAGAATTCCGTGCGCTAGAAAGGTTGCTTTTGCATTGGTGATCACAAAGGACATTTTTCCTTTCACCTTTTCTTTTTTTAGTCTCCATTTAACGCGAGTAAGACAAAATGGGTCTTTTTTTTGCGCACACAGACATTTGCGCACCTTTTTCGCGCTTTAAAAGGCTTTAAAAAGGTCCAAAAAACTCTAAAAAGCTCTAAAAAGCTGTAAACAGTTCTAAATAAATCAAGAAAACTTTCAAAAGCTCTAAAAGCCTTTAAAAAGCTTTAAAAAGCACTAAGAAAGCTCAAAAAAGGCTCAAAAAAAGCCCTAGATAGCTTTAAAAAGCTCAAAATAGCTTTAAAAAGCTCAAAATAGCTTTAAAAACCTCAAAATAGCTTTAAAAGGCTTTCAAAAGCACTAAATAGCTTTAAAAAGCACTAAGAAAGCTCAAAAAAGGCTCAAAAAAGCCCTAGATAGCTTTAAAAAGCTCAAAATAGCTTTAAAAACCTCAAAATAGCTTTCAAAAAGCCTAAAAAAGCTAATTTTCATCGATTTCTATTCAAAAAGTCGTCTTTCTGGGTAATTTTAAGGCGTAGAAACAAAATTTTGACTTATCCGAGTTTTTGGAAGCAATTTGAAAGATAAAATGTAGGATGATTACAGAAAATTGTCGATTTTCCCCGTATAACTCCGTTTTTTTGCTTCCACAAGCTCTGATATGTCAAAATTTGGATTCTACGTCCTAAAATTACCCAGAAAAACAACATTTGGAATAGAAATTGGTTAAAATTAGCTTTTTTGAGCTTTTAAAAGCTTTCTTAGGGCTTTTTAAAGTTTTTAAAGCTATTTTGAGCTTTTCTGAGCTTTTCTGAGCTTTTTAAAGCTTTTGAAAGCCTTTTAGAACCTTTTAAAGCATTTTAAAGCTTTCTTAGAGCTTTTTAAAGCTATTCTGAGCTTTTTAAAGCTTTTTTAGAGCTTTTTAGAGCTTTCTTAGAGCTTTTTAAAGTTTTTAAAGCTTTTTAAAGCCTTTTAAACCATTTTAAAGCCTTTTTTGAACTCTTAAAAACTTTTTAGATCTATTTAGAACTATTTAGAACTATTTCAAGCTTTTTAGAACCGAATCCGACTTTTTTAAAACCCCTTTATTCGACTTTTCATCATTTTTGGCTTACTGGAGCGTGTAAGAAACGAAAAAGTGCCGAAAAAGAGACGAAGAAAGAGAAGGATCAAAGGATTGGAGGTGGGTTCTCGTTGTGGAGAGAGAGTTCGATACTCCAAATAGTCATGCCAAGTGGACACCGGATCCCTGGCCCCCATTCAAGGATTCAATGGAGATTATGCAAATAGATTTTTTGCTTAGAATCAACTACATGACATAGGGAAACCAATTTAGGTAGTAGAAAAGTGGAATTCAGTGCCTGTTTGCGGAAAGTTTGAAAAAGAAAAATGTTTGTCGCTAGTGGGACTCGAACCTGCCCCTCACAGCCTGGAGATCAACGCTCTAACCGACTGAGCTATGGAGGGACGACGGCCGTCTGTCAGAAAAAGCCTTTTAACAAGTCTTCGGCTTCAGCTGAAGAAAAACAAAAAACTTTGTCGCTAGTGGGGATCGAACCTGCCACCCTTGCAGATCTGATCGTTTGGAGACCAACGCTCTAACCGACTGAGCTATGGAGGCACGACCGCGGTCTGTCAGAAAGAGCCTTTAAACAAGTCTTCGGCTTAAAGTTAAAAACAAAAATACTTTGTCGCTAGTGGGGATCGAACCTGCCACCCTTGCAGATCTGATCGTTTGGAGACCAACGCTCTAACCGATTGAGCTATGAAGGCACGACGGTCGTCTGTCAGAAAGAGCGTTTTAACAAGACCCATCGCCCTTTTAACGAGTTTTCAACAGTTTCAAGCACCAAACTTGAATCGTTTTTTAAAAAGTGGATAATCTGGTAAGCTACCGTAATCCTCAGCCCTCAGCTTTTCTTAATTTTTCTTAATTTTTATCTAATTCAATAGGAATCAATATGAAATGTCAACTTTTCAACTTTCAAACCCATACAAAACCTGTCCAAAAACGCGTGAAAACTCCGAATTTCCCCCCTTTTTTTTCTCTTTTCTAGTTTGACAGAAATCTCTTTGAAATCGCTCAAAAGAAAGCCAAAAAGAAAGCCAAAAAGACGAAAAGAAAAGAAAGAAAAAAGACTTTTGTCAACAAACGCACAAAAATTCGATGAGTCAATAAATACAAACTTTTCTCAAAGCTGGCAAGAGATTCGTCCATTTTTCCATGACATGAAATGTTTGGTAAGTATTGATCTTTGGGTTTTTGGTGGAATCGAATCGATTCTGCATTCTGAATCGAGACAAATCAATCTAAAGAAAATCGAGACAGAAACTCTTGAATCAGAGCGAATTCTTCTCTCAAATTGGCTGCAGTTTAAGTGAAATAATTGATACGAGGATTTGTATCAAGTCCAGCAAATTTAAGACCGAAATCCAGCAAATTTAAGGCCAAAATTGATCACATAAGTTCGGCATAGTGATGCCAAAAATGAAGAATGAAAAACTTGGAAAGGAATCGAACTCCGGCCCCTCTGCTTGGTAAACCATTACACTAACCACTAGACCACCGAGGCACAGCGAGCGAGCTGCAAGAGGCTCCGTGAAGAGATGTCTATCGAGCCCGTGTGCCAGGAAACGAGCGATTATGCTCGCGCACAAAGAACACAGCGATTTTTTTCTTTTCCTTGTAAATTGGCTTAAAAACAAGAAATTTTGCTCTAAATTTATACCCAGGGGTTTTCGAGGTCGGTGAATCGATTGGCGGTATTCATTTTATTAAATCTCTCAAAGATTTAGCTCTTTCTGGTTTACAAAGCTGGCTTCTGGCTTACAAAGTAAACGTGAGATTCCTTTAGCCTATTGACTTCTTTGATATTCATTTGCTTGAGCCAAAAGAGGGAAAATGAATGGGAATGGCTTTGGGAGAGGCTTCATCAAAAATGCACAAAGCTTTCCCCTTTTCTATGAGAAATAAAGGAAAAAGGAAAGAAAAATCGCTGCAAGAATGGAATAATAAGGAAAAGTGGGATGCTGAGGGGGAATTTTTGAGTGGATTCAGATTCGAGTTGTTTTTTGTGTGCACTTTACGCAAACATACCCTTTCTGGCGCACTAGATTCTCGAATTTTCTACAGGAATCTCTTTTAACGATTTTGGATGGATTTTGAGCTCAAGCTTTGGGCTTTGAGGTTAAAGGGCTCTTTTCGGGGGAGGGAAACGATGCAGCCATAGCTCAGTCGGTTAGAGCATTGGTTCAAAGACAGCCCGGGCTTCCAAGGTCGCAGGTTCGAGTCCTGCTGACGGTAAAGGTTTTTGTTTTAGCTTTGAGGCGCCTTTTCGGGGGAGGCAAACCAAAACGCCCTTTTTGGAGGAGGCAAACCGTGCAGCCATAGCTCAATCGGTTAGAGCGTTGGTTTAGAGGGTAAACTCCTCTCAAAGCTCGCAAGTTCGAGTCCTGCTAACGGCAAAGATTTCTCTTTTAGGTTAAAAAGCTCTTTTCCGGGGAGGGAAACCGTGCAGTCATAGCTCAGTCGGTTAGAGAATTGATTCAAAGACAGCCCGGGTTTCAAGGGTCGCAAGTTCGAGTCCTGCTGGCGTCAAAAAGTTTCTTTAAGTTTCTTTTAATCCAAATTCTTGAAAAGATGAAGAATTGAATGCACGATTCGGTCTAAATTCGATCTTAAACCAAGGCAAACTTGAAAGGAAACTATAATTTGATGTTTTTTTAGAAAGTTGACTCAAGTTGACTCAAATCTCAAAAGTTAAGGCTCATTTTTGATTGAAATCTCAATAAATCTGACAACCCGTCATTTTTCCATCATATAAGCAAAACAAAAAGCAAAAAAAGTTGAAGGGGAAAAAAATTTATGTAAAAAATAATGTGCTTTCAAGTCTGAACCAATAAATTTGACTTTAATTATGTCAAAAATTTGCATATCATTGTTTAGCTTATTTTTTTTCAGATTTTTGAAGCTTTAGACAGGTGAAAAGGCAAAAAAAAACAAAAGAAAGGTGTTTTTTTTTTAAAGAAATCCATTACAAATCCAAAAAGCACTTCTATTTTTGACTTATAATGATCAAATAGCAATTTCTGTGCTTTATTGCAGAGTTCAATGCGCTAGAAAGGCTTGGTTTAGATTTTCGAGCACAAAGTACACCTCATTGAAACAAAAGATCTTCTCAGTAGCCATATCGGGGGTATTTTGAGATTAAATCTTGTTAAAACGGCCTTTCTGGGGGGTGGGACGACTTGTCGACATAGCTCAGTCGGTTAGAGGATTGGTACGAAGGCAGACGGCTTTCAAGGGTCAAAGGTTCGACTCCCGCTAGCGACAAAGATTTTTGGGTTCAATTTGAGTTCAAAAACTTGTTACTTGTTCAACAGCCTTTCTGGGAGAGCAACGGCATGTCGTCATAGCTCAGTCGGTTAGAGCATTGGTTCAAAGACAGCCGGCTTTCAAGGGTCGCAGGTTCGACCCCCGCTAGCGACAAAGAGCTTTGGTGAGTTCAAAAACTTGTTAAAACGTTCTTTCTGGGAAGAGCAACGACATGTCGACATAGCTCAGTCGGTTAGAGGATTGGTCTCAAGGCGATTCCATCCCCGAGGGTCGCGGGTTCGACCCCCGCTAGCGACAAAGATTTTTGTTTTAAGTTTGAGTTCAAAAGCTTGTTAAAACGGCCTTTCTGGGAGAGCAACGACCTGTCGTCATAGCTCAGTCGGTTAGAGCATTGGTTCAAAGACAGCCCGCTTTCAAAACTCGCAGGTTCGACCCCCGCTAGCGGCAAAACTTTCGTTTTTTGATGGTACACTGTAAACTAAAATATAACACTTTTTCTACATTGTAAACGTGTACTTTGTACTGTACTGTACTGTACTGTACTTGTACTGTACTTGTACTCAAATTCAACACCATTATTGAAGCCATTTTTCATACGATAAAGATCACCAAAAAAAAAAAAAACGAAAAAAGCCCAAAATTCCCCAATCCAGTGCGCTAAAAAGTCAAAAATACACAAAAATTTTCAACACAAAATACACTCACCAAGCCCGGGTCGGATTGTCGATTGTTGCGAAAAGATCGCGCGAATTTCGAGCGCGCTCGCGAGTACAAATCACCCGTACGTTTTCCGATCGATTTAAACGATTTCGAGTATTGCAACATTAAAGAATGAGGAAAAAGAATTGGAGAATTGGAGAATTGCAGAAAATTGTCTAATCCGTATCCAGGGATATTATGAGGAATAGAATAGATCCCGGAATCACAAGGCGAGGCTCATCGGCTTCTGACGGGAGTAGGGGGATCCTGGGTCCCGGGTCCAGGGGCGGGGCTTGCCCTCTCTTGCTTGCCCCTTTTCCCTCTTTCCCTCCAATCTTTCTTTTTCATCGCCTATTTCACCTTTTTGGCCTCTAAAGAGTCAGAACCGGACTTTAAAGATGAGAGAAATGATGAGGCAACTGAGTAACGGAATAAAGTGGCTGCGGAATGGCTAGGTTAATTCATTTTTTTGATTTTTAAGTAGTCTAAGTTGACTCTCAAACAAACGCTCAGATCTTAGCACCTGTTCATTTGTTTCTAGGTGTTTAGGTATCAAATTAAAGTAGAGAAAATGGGTGATTTTTCTAGATATAACACTTATTTTTAGCATTAACCAGCGCTTAGAAAAAGATGATTGAAAATCGGTGAAAATCAGCTTTTTTTTTCCCCACTTTTCAATCATTTTTTCTAAGCACTCGTTAATGCTAAACATAAGTGTTATATTACAAAAGATTACTCATTTTCTCTACTTTAATTTGATACTAAACTTTAGAGGGCCTAGATTACCATAAAAGCTCTAATAGAGGCACCCCCTTTAGGAGCGTCGCGTAGTCTAAGTTGACACTCAAAGAACCACTCATATCTCGACACCAGTAGGTTTGTTTGTACTCGCTTTGATATCAAATTAAAGTAGAGAAAATGGATGTCATTTTGAGATATAACACTTGTTTTTAGCATTAACGAGTGCTGAGAAAAAGATGATTGAAAATCGGTGAAAATCAGCTTTTTTTTTCTCTACTTTTCAATCATTTTTTCTAAGCACTCGTTAATGCTAAAAATAAGTGTTATATCGCAAAAGATTACTCATTTTCTCTACTTTAATTTGTTACTAAACTTTAGAGGGCATAGATTACCATAAAAGCTCTAATAGAGGCACTTTAGATGAGGCAACTGAGTAACGGAATAAAGTGGCTGCGGAATCAATTTTTCGATTTTTAATATGAATCCACGATTCTCTTGAGGTTTTTGGGCTATAAAGAAAGGTAAAAAAAAAGGCAAAACATTTGAAGGACTTTTCTGGCATTCATTTAGATTAGCAGAAGTAATTTTGATAAGTAATTTGCATTTAAAATAACGACGAATAGAGCTAGGCACTTGTGAATTCTTTTCCTTGTGAAAACAAGAGCATTGCCATTAGATTTAAATAAAATAAATAGTGCCAATCGATTCACCGACCTCGAAAACCCCTGGGTATAAATTTAGAGAAAAATTTCTTGTTTTTAAGTCATTTACAAAGTAAAAGAAAAAAAAAATCGCTGTTTGTTCTTTGTGCGCGAGCGTAATCGCTTGCTTTCTGGTAGATCTTTTGAATAAATAAGTGTTCCTTTTTGTTGGAAAATTTGGAAATCGAATTTAAAGGTTGATAGATATCTTCTTTGTCTTATTTTTTTTGTAATTATGATAAACTTTTGATCATCTTTGACAGAGAGAAAGTTGTTAAAGGAAATCGGGCTTTTGAGTATGATTAGCAATCGTAAATAAGTGTTCTAGGTGTTCTAGGTGTTCTAAGTTCTAGGTAAGAGCCGAGAAATCATGGTTCGTCTAGTATTTGGCTATCAAAGCGAAAGAAACCACTTTTTATTATATTTATCAGAAGAATCATTAAAAATTCGGTACTTTTCCCTCTTACGCCCATCAATAAACTAAATTTTCTAAAGAACAAACAAATTTAATCGACAAAAAACCTTAGTTTTACTTTTTAGCTTACTTTTCATTGTAATTCAACCGTAATCCAACAGCTAACCTTCTGTTTCCAACCACTAGCCTTCGTTTCCAACAGCTAATCTTCCGTTTCCAACAGCTAACCTTCCGTTTCCAACCATTAACCTTCGTTTCCAACTGCTAACCTTCGTTTTCAACAGCTAGCCTTCGTTTCCAACAGCTAACCTTTGTTTCCAACAGCTAATCTTCCGTTTCCAATAACTAACCTTCGTTTCCAACCACTAACCTTCGTTTTCAACAACTAACCTTCCGTTTCCAACAGCTAACCTTCCATTTCCAACCATTAACCTTCGTTTCCAACAGCTAACCTTCCGTTTCCGTTTCTAGCTCCCACAGTTTCTTTTTTAATCGAGTTATTAAATTGTGAAACCCCCTTATATTCATGATATTCCCACCGTTCCTAGCTAGATATTCCCACTGCGCAATTTCAATTGATTTGATCAATTAAGCAATCAAATCAATTGATGCAATTGATTTGATTGCTCTTTGATTCTTTCTTGAGGTATCTTTTTATCTTTTAGGTGTGTCCTGGGTGATTATTGTGATCTTTTTTTTGTTGCTATTCAACTGTATAAAGCATCTATACAATCATCGCCCAATTTGGACACTTGAATCAATTTTGTTTGTAACTTTGATCATTTTCAACTCTTTCAATGTCAAGTGGTGATTATTGTGTTCTTGTTTTGTCGCTATTCAACTGAATAAAGCATTTAAAGGTTTCGAGATTATTGGACTCTCTCAAAACTCTGCGGAATCGATTCCAAATTCTGGTAGTTCTTATTGGAAAAGAGTTATGCAAAAGCTTATTACTGGAATTTCTAAAATCAAAGAAACTCTCCTTGAATTCAACTTTAAATAAATCTCGAGAAAGATGGATAGATTTTATATAGTTTAGCGTCGCCTGGGGACCAAAATTCCATTGCGTTATATAGTTTTGCGTTATATAAAGTCCGTTATAGTCGACTGTATGAAAGAGTCGACTGTATAAAGGAAAAATTACGAATGTTACTATCTAAATATTACGAATATTACATAGAAAGTTATTTATTATAGTCTTTTATAGTAAAGTGTAACAAAAATCGGTACTTGTCGGTTATACATCCACAGAGAATCCACAGAGAATCCACAGAATCCACAGAATCCATAGAATCCACAGAATCCACAGAATCCACAGAGAATCCAGAGGATCCACAGAATCCACAGAATCCACAGAATCCACAGAATCCACAGAATTCACAGAATCCATAGAATCCATAGAATCCACAAAATCCACAGAGAATCCAGAGGATCCATAGAATCCACAGAATCCACAGAATCCCCAGAGAATCCAAAGAATCCACAGAGAATCCACAGAACCCACAGAATCCACAGAATCCACAGAGAATCCACAGAATCCACAGAGAATCCAGAGGATCCACAGAATCCACAGAATCCACAGAATCCACAGAATCCCCAGAGAATCCAAAGAATCCACAGAATCCACAGAGAATCCACAGAATCCACAAAGGATCCAGAGAATCCAGAAGAATCCACAGAATCTACAGAATCCACAGAACCCACAGAATCCACAGAATCCACAGAATTCACAGAATCCATAGAATCCATAGAATCCATAGAATCCATAGAATCCACAAAATCCACAGAGAATCCAGAGGATCCATAGAATCCACAGAATCCATAGAATCCACAGAATCCATAGAATCCACAGAGAATCCACAGAATCCACAAAGGATCCAGAGAATCCAGAAGAATCCACAGAATATACAGAATCCACAGAATCTACAGAATCCCCAGAATCCACAGAGAATCCACAGAATCTACAGAATCTACAGAATCCACAGAATCCACAGAGAATCCAAAGAATCCACAGAATCCACAGAGACTCAACTCGGTTAAGCAAGAAGCTGACTACTTGTGTCCAGTGAAGTACAGTGCTCTGCTGAAGTGATCAGTCGATCAGTCCAAAGAAAATCGATAACCGAGATGGGGATGCTTCACCGAGATGAGCCTTTGTGGACGTTTAACCGACAAGTACCTCTCTTTTTCAACAAGATTCACTCACCGCTTGTACACACGAGCAAAGCCGTTTCATCAGCGTCGACATTTTCATCTGCTGGATTTCGAATTGCGAAGAATTTTTAAAATTTCCAAATTTGAGCACTTCTAAAAGTATTCTTTAAAAGAAAAAAAGATAAAAAGACAAAAAACAAAATTGAAAATTGAAAATCGAATTTTCAAAATTTTGTGGAGTTATAAAAGTTACTAATTCAAAAGAAAAGCAGAAATTTTTCAAAAAAACCTTTTATAAATGATATCATAGATCAATTTCGATAATAGAAAACTTCAAATTTCTTTTCAAAACCAAAAAAAAATCAATAAAATGATGAGAGCAAGGGGAATTCAGCAGCTTAACCCAACAATTATCAAGAAAAATTTGTGATGTTTAGTGAAAAGGAAAGAAATCGAACACTGACTAATAACTCAAAATCAGTTTTTTTTTCCTGGAAAAAGATCTGGCTTGGATCTGGGCTTGGAAATCACTTTGTGATATGAGCTGTGATGAGCTATGATCTATGATGAGCTATAATCTGTGATGAGCTATATCTGTGCTATTAGCTATGATTCTAGATTCCAATTCTAGATTCCAGTTCTAGACTCTAGTTCTAGATTCCAGTTCTAGATTCCAGTTCTAGATTCCAGTTCTAGCTTCCAGTTCTAGCTTCTAGTTCTAGATCCTAGTTCTAGATTCCAGTTCTAGATTCTAGTTCTAGATTCTAGTTCTAGATTCCAGTTCTAGCTTCCAGTTCTAGCTTCTAGTTCTAGACTCTAGTTCTAGCTTCTAGTTCTAGATTCCAGTTCTAGATTCCAGTTCTAGCTTCCAGTTCTAGCTTCTAGTTCTAGATCCTAGTTCTAGATTCCAGTTCTAGATTCTAGTTCTAGCTTCTAGTTCTAGACTCTAGTTCTAGCTTCTAGTTCTAGATTCCAGTTCTAGCTTCTAGTTCTAGATTCCAGTTCTAGCTTCTAGTTCTAGATTCTAGTTCTAGATTCCAGTTCTAGATTCCAGTTCTAGCTTCCAGTTCTAGATTCCAGTTCTAGCTTCCAGTTCTAGCTTCCAGTTCTAGATT